GAAGGGCCATGAGGTCCTGCATTTCTGTACTCCTGGAACAAAAAGTGGTGGAAGAAGTTCCAAAACGGGAAAGGTTCCGGGGAATTTACTCCACAGTGTTCTTGGCCCCAAAACCACAGGGAAAGTGGCATCTCATTTTGAATTTAAAAGGCGTAAACTCCTTGCTCGACGTAAAGACGTTCAAAATGGAATCCTTGAGGACCATCTTGAAGTGTGTCAAAAAGGGAGACTGGATGACCTCAATAGACTTAAGGGACGCTTACTATCATATCCCGATACATCAAGATCACATGCAGTTTCTCAGGTTTTGGGCGCTAGGAAGGCACTTCCAGTTCCGGGGACTACCGTTTGGCCTCAGCCTGGCTCCAAGAACGTTCTCAAAAGTTCTGGTCACCTTAATAGCCTTTATAAGGGAAAAGGGTATCGAGATCTTCCATTATTTGGACGACATTCTTATCTTGGGTCCATCTCAAGGAATTGTAGCTCAGCATACGTCAGTGGCAATGTCCATTCTTCAAGACCATGGATGACTTCTGAACGTAGAAAAGAGCTCCCTCGTTCCTGCGCAAACTATCATTTTCCTGGGTGCAGTGGTGAATACAGTGTCTGCACATGTGTTCCTGTCTCCAGAAAGGGTCATGAAAATCAGAGACAAAGTAAGGAAGCTGCAAGTTCTCGAAACTGCACCTGCAAGAGAAGGCATGAGTCTCCTGGCTTCCTTGACATCAACAATAGGGTTGGTGAAGTGGGCCCAGTGGAAGTTCCGTCCGGTCCACAACTGCTTCCTTCTCCAGTTCGACAGAGTGGAAGCGGATTGGGAACAGATGATATCTCTTCCCCTCCCCGTAAGGAAAGGCTTAAACTGGTGGAAGAGCGAGAGGAATTTGACAACAGGCTTCCCATTGGAAGATCCCCCTTGGAAGGTTATTACGACAGATGCCAGTTCTTTTGGATGGGGTGCCCACTTCAGTTCTATATCTTTGCAGAAATTGCACATCGGCGGGGCATGCCCCAGATCGACCTGATGGCATCATCTCAGAATCATCAGGTGGAGAATTACTTCTCTCTCCACCCGGATTGTCAGGCACTGGGCCAGGATGCTCTCTCTCTGCCTTGGTTGTTCGATCTGGGGTATGCTTTCCCTCCCCTACCCATGATTCCCAGGTTCCTGCAGAAGGTTTGGTCGGAAGGCAAAAAAGTAATTGCCATAATTCCGATTTGGCCTCGGAGGCCATCGTTTCCCTTATTGGACAGGATGAGCCAGGAACAACCTTGGCCTCTTCCAGTGATGGAGGATCTGCTCATGCAGGGCCCTGTTTTCCATCCTCATCCGGAACGCCTCAAGCTGGGGGTATGGGTCTTGAGAAAGAAAGACTCCAATTACTAGGTCTCTCAGAGGCAGTGATCAATACCCTTCTGCTCTCCAGGAAGGCTTCCACTTCCTCATGCTACCATAGGATCTGGGATGTGTTCCAAGCATGGGCTTGGTCTAATAATGTAGACTTTCGGCATCCTAGCAATACTGAAGTTTTGGAGTTTCTGCAAGAGGGCCTGGACAAGGGCCTTAGCCTCAGCACCCTGAAGGTTCAGTCCTCCGCACTTTCAGCTTTGTGCAGCATCTCATGGGCTTCGGATCCTTTGATTTCCAGGTTTTTCAAAGCGGCCTTCAGGTTGAGGCCTCCTTCCAGATCTACTACCCCTCCTTGGGACCTTCCTCTGGTGCTCAGTTATGTCACTGAGGATCTGTTTGTTCCTCTTGAAAGTTTGGATGCTACTCTCCTGACGTATAAAACTTTGTTTTTGGTGGCAATTACTTCCGCAAGACGGATTTCAGAGATTAAGGCATTTTCTACATCATCTTCTTGTTTACGATTCTACAAAGATAGGGTGTGTCTGAAACCAAAACCAGAGTTTCTTCCTAAGGTGGTTTCTCAGTTTCACCTCTCTCAAGAAGTGGTTCTTCCATCATTTTACCCCAACCCCTCTTCTTAGGAGGAGGTTAGATGGCAACATTTGGATGTCATGAACTGCTTGTCTGCATATCTTAAACGTTCTGAGTCTTTCCATAAAATGGACCAACTCTTCGTTTTGCCCTTGGGAGCAAGGAGAGGTGAGGCGGCTTCTTTATCTACGTTGGATTTCTCTGATAATTAAGAAGGCGTATATCTCTAACGGTATATCACCCCCACGGGAGATAATAACTCATTCTACTAGAGCATTATCAACTTCATGGGCTAGCTGGGCAGAGGTTCCATATGATGATATTTGCAGAGCAGCCACCTGGTCTTCTCCGATGACATTCATGAAGCACTACAAACTAGATGTGGATTCTCCTTCCACCTTCTTTGGGAAGAGTGTCCTGTCTACGGTTTCTTTATCCCGTTGATATTAAACTTTTCTTTGCTGCATATGATTCAGTTTGGTGTAACTTCTTGGATTATTATTCCCACCCTATATTTCTGTGAGCTTGGGTATTACCCATAAGTGATGCTGCCATGATTAGCCAGGAATAGAGAAAATTTATGACAAACTTACCGTACTTTTCTTTTCCTGGCTATTTCTCATGGCAGCATCAGGGTTCCCGCCCGTTCTTTTATTTCAGCTTTATAATTGGACTGAGGTGTAGGGGGAGGAGGGACTCCTTATACCTATCAGTCTGATTAATTAATCTAATTAATTCATGTCCTGTGACTGCTAAGGGAGGAGCTACCCATAAGTGATGCTGCCATGAGAAATAGCCAGGAAAAGAAAATTACGGTAAGTTTGTCATAAATTTTCTCTATTATTGGCCACAATGTATCTATTTAGAGATTCATCTCTTTAGACCTTTTTGTATCCACTCTTTTGGAATTGAGAGTTTCTCTTTCTGCCTCATCAATATTATTATTATTATTATTATTATTATTATTGCCATTTATATAGCGCCAACAGATTCCATAGCTCTTTACAATATTATGAGAGGGGGGATTTAACTATAAATAGGACAATTACAAATAAACTTACAGGAACGATGGGTTGAAGAGGACCCTGCTCAAACGAGCTTACAGTCTGTAGGTTATCAGCTTGCACTTCTTATTTATATAGTTTATTTATTTATTTATTATTTATTTATTTATATAGCTTCTTATTTATATAGTTGGGATAATTTGTGGCCAACGCATTTTTGGCAATTATAATGAAGCCTATTAGTTTATCCACTTCAATGATATTCTGTGCCTTGATGTACATGATAGATACTTTCCTCGTTAAGTTTTAACTATTGCTTTACTTCAGCCTCTCCTACATCAGTACCCTGATGGAATTTCCCTGATAAGGATTTCCTCACTTTGCTTTTTATATACCTCCTCAGCCCTTGTTCCAGGAAGACACACCTCTCCGGTCACAGTTACTTGCATTTTCTGTTTCTCCATTGTACTGCGCTGCAGCATATGTTTGATGCATTATGAATAACAATGTGCCAGCATTATTCAAATATTGGAAAGCAGTAGGCACTCGCAGGGCTTTGTTATAAAAAAGTTTTAATTGTGCAGCGTCCAATGTGCCAGCATTATATACAGAAAATGGCCATGTGTTCCACATTGAGGCACACAGTTTGTATTGGTGTCAATGCTCCACACTGATACAGATAGGGGAGAGTTATTGAAACCACATGTTTGACCCTGTTTAATGTGGGAAGAGAGCAATGGCAGGGGAGGGGGTGGTGTAAATGGCAGCAGTTCCCCTGGTGTACCCCCTGCAGACCCTGCCTGTGCACACATTCCAGTGGTCGATGTTTGCTGAGCCCCTGAATGCCAGGGTCTCTGTACCCCTAGTCTTTTAACCTGGCAGCCACAGAGAAATGCCAATGCATCCAGACTAACCGCACATGGCACATGGGACAATCTAATTAACATTTAATGCCAGGCACGCCCAGAGATTTTATAAAAAATGAAATAACTGCAAATAAATGAAGTTTTAGTTAGGTTTTCGGTTCTCACGTGAGATAGTTTTGATCTAAAGCGATGTTCATTGCACTGAGAGGGAGAAAACTCTTTATAGTGACCAGTGCCTGGGCCCTGATCCATATGGTGTGCATTTTACAATCAATCAAATAGGACGGCCCCGACTAACCGAACCGCTGCATCAAACAATGACTTGTGTCGAGCTGAAAGCCAAGCTACAAAAGTTTGGCCGTAAAAGCTGCCTTGCGTGCTGTAGTGGTTATGGTGGCAGGAATCCTGGAATCGGTCCAATAACCATATAGAAATGTATTAACACTTACCTTGCTGTAGCAGGTGCCCATGGTCCTTCTGATAAAGGGGACATTACGTTTTCTGACATAATAATCCAAACTCATTGGGAGCCACCAGCTGACATGAATGACAATCAGACAGCGCCTTGGGACTCCTCACACCATAACCACTACAATTCATACAATCTGGTGATTTTTGAGATTTTTTTTTCGACCTGGCGATTTTCGCCTTAAGTTTCCCAATCAGTTCAAGCGACCATTTAGTGAGAAGACCCCTGTGTACAACATGTTAACGCAAAATACACATTTCATAAAATGGGATCCTTGTATTAGTGGAATGTATCAATGTATTAAACATAAACACACTCCCTTAGGCATGAGTAATATTTCCTATTAATCACAGTCTGTAGGGAGATCACTAATGTCTGATCATTTCCTGGGAGAATTTAAGGCCAATGTACTAATATGAGAGACTACACAAGTTATGACAGGCGAGACAAGAATAATGTCCCTAACTAGCTACCAAAACTAAAATCCCCAAATCCTAACCTGCCCCTAAAAACTAGCATTACAGAATCTACAATGTATCCATGCTTAGAAATGATTATTATGTGGAACTATTTAATTACAAAATGAGACATTCTCCAGTACACAGTGGCAGACAGACAGACAGAGAGACAGACAGACAATGCATCAGGTAACATAAATCTAGCATAACTGTGTTAGACATCCTGAGTCCTGGACCTCCCATCCCTAGGATTAGGACTTACCTCTGAAGGTGAGGCTGGTCACTGGGTCACTCTGTCTGTCCCCTTTCTCCAGGTTTGGAAGATTACTGGCTCTCTGTATCACACAGCGAAGCATCTCACAGTCAGGGAGCAATCCACAGACACAGGATAAAGTCCAGATCACAGGGACCAGCAGAGCAAATCACCCAGATCACAGCAACAGAGACCCCTGGCCAGCACTGCTCTGCAGATCACAGCAATAGAGACCCCTGGCCAGCACTGCTCTGCAGATCACAGCAACAGAGACCCCTGGCCAGCACTGCTCTGCAGATCACAGTAACAGGGACCCCTGGCCAGCACTGCTCTGCAGATCACCACAGCATAGCTCCCTGGATAGCAATGCTCTGCAGATCACAGCCCATGTACAGCACTCCTGCACAGCCCTGTGCCAGTCACTAGTTCTTTTCATCCCAATGACCCATAGCAGGAGGAGTCTGTCTGTCCTGGGCACAGTGAGCAGGGGGTCTGAGAGATGTCCTGCAGTCTGCTAGCTCCTCCTTGTGTACTAAATTGTACTCATCATACAACATGCATGCTCACACACACTATACACACACACACACACACACACACACACACACACACACACACAGTATATTCACACAAACACAGTACACACACACACACACACACAGTATATTCACACACAGTATACTCAGGCACACGGTATATGCATGCTCACACACACATTATTCACACACAGTATACACACATACACAGTATACACACACACAGTATACACACAGTATACTCACACACACTGTATATTCACACACAGTATACTCATACACACAGTATATGCAAACACACAATATGCTCACACACACAGTATACTCACACACATAGTATATGCACACACACAATATGCTCACACACAGTATATGCACACACACAATATACTCACACACACAGTATAAGCATGCTCACACTGGGCTGTTCCTGTGTCTCAGTGCTGTACATGCCCCAGCCTGCATCCCACTGGGACTAGAAATTAGTGGCTCCTAAGGCAAAAATAAACTAGTAGAGAGTTAACACTCACAGTGCCAGGAGACAGTGCTACACCCACTGCCTCATCAAATGTCACCATGTCACCCCAGAGAGAGATTATTAATGTGCTGTGTGGGGAGATGGACTGAATTTCCTGTTTATACTCTGTATAGTGTGTGATCTCTGAAATGACATTTCTACCACAGCACTAAAACAGCCTGTAGCTCTTACCTAAGACAGAGAGAGGGGGTCTGAGTCTAGTAAACAGGGGGTGATGGCTGGAAATCTGGGATCCAGCAGCACCCATTTATATTACTCTCACTGCTGGGGATAGAAGACCTGAAAATCCATGGAAACCATGGTTATTCAATAAATACTCACTACCGTGACATTTGGTTGGAAAATATTCATGTCATTTTGTTGAATTTTTGTTAAAGAAAATTATAGTAAGGGATTGTAAATGCTGCCGACATATAGCGCCACAATAGGTAAATAAGACAAACATTTATTTCTAACAAAACATGATTAACATTCTGGAACAATAAGTACCCCAGAGAACTTACAATCTAATCTATAAAGAAATTTGGGATTCCTTTGTCCCCCATCGTCACAATCTTTTACCCCCTAATTCTCAGTCCGGCCCCATCTATGTTATTGATAAAATATATATGGGCACTTTCAATTAAAAAAGGTTCATGTATCCATTTTATAACTTAGTCTCACACACAGACAACTTAATTTCTACCAGCAGGGGGGACTCCCACCCATGTTACTGAGCACACCAAAACCATAATAATGAATCCAAATCCCCTCTATTATTATTATTATTATTTTATTATTTATATAGCGCCATCAGATTCTGTAGCGCTGTACAATTATGTATATATATTGCTGCATACTGACACTTATATTGGCAGGCTGGCCATACGTTTAGATTTAATAAAGACATCTGAAAAAAATATTACAATGTTCTTCAAAGTTACCTCTTAATCTAGAATAAAAATCCACCCATCTTTTGCTTATTGATACAGGCTCTAAAAAATACCTATTAAGTTCTGGCTCACTTAAAGAAAAATGTTAAATGCCGCTAACAGTAGGTGTTATACTCTGTGTAATAACGGTGTGATTTGTCAGATCAGGACGTGATATCAGGTCTTTACACAGGTTGATATCAGGTATTACAATTCTTAAACTGGGAGACAGACACACACACACACACACATATATATATATATATATATATATATATATATATATATATATATATACAGAGTGAGCCGAAATTCAGAGTATGGTTTGAGGAGTCAATAACTTTTTTATTAATGAACCAATTTCAATGATATTATATACAATGAATGCTTACGGAGATTTGTTTGACTTTATAAGGAATATGACATCTTTAAATGAGCTCCATTTGCCGCCTTGCAAACTCTGCTTTTATCGATTTCATTGTTTGTTAGTTAATGTTTAGGGCTCTAAGCATTGGAATTTCTCACCGATAACTTCTTATGAGGTCACCCCGCAACGGACGCTGAATTTGGTAGGGTTCATTTGGCGCTGATGAAGTATCCGTGGTTTTTCTGTACCCAGAAACTACAGTTTTGCTTATTGACGAAGCCATTTAAATGAAAATAAGGTTCATCAGACATGAAGATAATTTGTTGTTCCTTCGTGAAATTACCCATGATGAATCTCCCAAGACTCATTTCTAATATGTATCTGGAAATACTAACAAATACGTTATTTATCTGTCAAATTCTTCTCTGAGTGTTGGCCCACCCTATATATATATATATATTTGTAAAAAATAAAAAATAAAAAAAGCATCTCCGGAAAATAAAAATGTTAAAACAAATAGTTATTGTTAATGGTGCAAAGTACCAATACCAGAGAAGGAAAAGTTCATCTTTAAACAATGGGGAACAAGACAGGCAAAGGTCTGGAGCTGGCAGCAAAATGGGACAAAAAAAACCAAAAAGTGACAGGAAGTGAGAGGAAGTGACAGGAAGTCTTGTTGTGGACTTAGACGAAGGGAACTCCTGGTATGGTGGGATGTGTCGTTGGTTTGTATTCACATTCTGTGATATCATTTAATATTAAATTTACTAGGATTATTCCATGCAATGGGTTTGTAGAAACTCTTCCATCAAATCTATGGTAAGAAATTTGCAGAGATCAGCCCCGGGGGAACAGACAGAAAACCATTAAAAACAACAGATCTTTTTTATCAGCTTTTGAAAAGCGAGTCACATATTTATTGCAAACATTCATGGTTACTCATTAAACTGAGAAATCTGTTCTAAAAACATCTGTGCTAAAAGGTGCAGTTTGTTTATAGATCTCGTTGGCTCCCCGTATCTCACTATTTAGCGAATAAATCCCAAATGTCACAATAACAACATCAAACATTATACAGAGAGCATGTGCTCTTTCCTAAATAATCAATATAATAAGTCAAACACAGAGATCTGACCTTACTGAACGACCGTCAGAAAATAACAAAGACAGGGCAGTAAGGTAATCGAATCCAGAATTCTTTATAGGAATTACAGCCATTAGTGTATACACAAGGGATACATGTATATCGCCTGCCATTGCTATAGTATTACACCTCTCCTATTACACAATCTATAGGCAGGAAGACCCCATTACAGACAGAAATATGTCTGGTATTCCCAAAAGACTAAGTAAATGCCTCCGAGCCAAGGTGACTGCTTAATGGTGCTTTAGGACTTTGTAGAGTCGATACCACTAAAGATTCCAAACCCACATCCCACCATGCACTACACGTCAGAAAAGAGTAGATGCCACTTCTCAAGATCCTTTGAAAATTTGCTCTTTTTTTAGAAAAAATAATAATATGTTTAACTATCACAGGCAGCCCACTGCAGGGTGGAAGAAAAAAGACAAAAAAGGATTAACTTAACGAACATTTTGTGCATTTGGATGCTGTTACTCCTAAATAATACCACTATATAGTGAGTGACGGTCCCAAGTAACAGAATCTTGAATTAGGATGCAGTGGCAGCTTGCTGATCCATCAGAACCAACTCTGATCTGCAGGATTACCCTGTGATTTGTAGGGTGTCCTAGGAATACAGCTATGTAGATCCATTGCACTGAGAGCCAATGTGACAGCTGGCAAGTAAATTCTAAGGGGCTGCTAAATTTAGGATCTGGACTCCTGATTTGGCCAATGATAGGAGACCTCAAGAAAATCTACAGGGGATTTATAGCAAACTGCTCCCAATATCCCGAGGGCTGAAATTAGATAAAGGACTTTCCTCTCAAAAGAAAACGCTAAACATTTTGTGTTCACTCTAAATTGAAACCAGATAGGAAGATAAATAATGAGGTTAACTGTGTCTTAGGGTCAATTACACATGGAACTCACATGGTCCAGATTGTAATAATCACAACAAGCAACCAGTGAAAAGGAACGCTCCACGCACCATAACCACTACAGCACCCATCCTGTTCCTTCCCTTGTAAGGCGTTAAGCTGTTTTAGGTTGGTTTTAATTCTAACCTGGAATGCCATGCAGGGCTAGCGTGATGGCTGAGAGAGTCAGCGGATCACACTCAACCAATGAGCCATTCTAAAACAGTTTTTAGTCTAAGACAGTGTGCAATGTGGGAGCACAAGATGACTCCTGGCATGATAACCAGTATGGCACATTGAGTGGGTACGGAGCTTGGAGTGTTCCATTAATTAAAGGCAGGACATTCAGGAATGCCATGATTCACACTCTGCAGAAATGGTGTGGTAGGGGCAAGTCCCACCGTTACTCAGGAAGAGAAAGGAGATAATAATAATAACTGGAACTGCCAAAACCTTGCCAGAGTTGGCTTTTATCTCATGAACGCCCCCTAGAGGCCATGTCATGGAATGGTATGACCCAATACCTGGACTCATGCATGAGTCACATAGACCAAAAAAGTATCATGTCTTTAGACCATACTTGAAATTGAGAGAAATCTCATGGTATGTTTTCTAGTATTTAATGAATAAATGGAGGTGTGATGGCCACTGGGTGCAAAATTCTTCAATCGACAGTTAATTTTTATACGTGAGGCTTGCGAGGCACTGCCTGGCACACTATGTAAATTCAGTGAATTGTACAGAGCCACACGAGGCCTGTGAGTGCACAGGGAAGAGGGTGACTGCAGTAATTAGACTTATCTCCGCTACATACTGGTTTAAGGTGAGAAACGTATCCTGTAGTATGATAAAACACCAGCACTCACGTACCCTTTATTGTGGTCCTTTAATATAACAGAGTGAGTGTGAGTGTTGCTGTTTTGTTGCATTGCTGAGTGTGGGGTAGAGGTTGTATCCTTGGACTACTCAAGCTATTACCACTATTGGATAATGATTGTCAGCCTATCTGTAACATGAACCCTGCAGGAC